AGTTTGTTTTGTGAAAAAATGTAGTCTCTCATAATGAGACAAAATGAAGCCATCTTTTTTTGGTGCGTTTCTGAAAGTTTGTTTTGTTGTTTGGGTCAAGAAATATGGGATAAGCCTTGAAAAATTATCATTTTCATTCTGCATTAAATTTGCATGCGAACAACTGCGACCACATCTCACTAAACTCTTCCATTGTAGACTAGAGCCAAAGACCTGTCAAAAACACTCTCCCTAGATTCTATGGCCCCCGATGTCAAAAGGGTACTAAACAACCACTAATGTGGAAATTATTTGCGATTCGTAACTTATCTCCGACTTTGATCAATGTATCCATATTTCTAATCTTCTTTTTTTTCTCGACACTACGAGAAATTGTACTTTCACCGCTAGATTTAAACTGTAGCTAAAAACTGTTGTCACTAAATACATATCTTTAATGATAAAAAATTATTATTGCCACAGAAAATATGATATTCAAATTATTTAGTGAACATAATTATTTATCGCCACTAACAATATATAACTAGTGGTGAAAAATTATTATTGCCACTGAAGATATGGTAGTAATATAGTTAGTGACAATTTGAATGTTGCGGCAAAAACATATCACTAATTTGCCGCTAATTCCAAATATCCAGTGACAAAAATTTTAATTTAGTCACTAATTAAATTTAAATTTTTAGTGTTAAAAAATAATTATTGTCACCATATATATTATAATAAATTTAAAGAGTGACAGTTTTATTGTCATGGCTAAAAGCTAACTATTTGTCATTAATTTTTGATGAAAAAATAATTTAGTGGCAACAATTTTTTTTATCACTAATAATCTAGATAAGCAATTATTTTTAGTCACTACATTTTTTGTACTGCGGTTGATTCTCGGCACTCCTATGGTTTTTGCGTGAAACTTTATATACGAGCTCGGTTCTCATATACTTTCCTCCTCTCTCTCTTTCTCGACCTTTCTTTCTCTGACACACTGGCCCTCCTCTCTCTTTTGCGACCTCAAGGATCGGCTAGGGCACAAAGCCTTATCTCTCTTATCCTCTCGGTGATTGCAGATCAGATCTGAAGAGGACGAAGCTATTCAGCACTAATTTTCCAATTCGTTTACAATGTTTGGATTCTGAGAAATTAGGTATTAAGCTACAACTTCAAATTAGCTTCATATTCGTCTGCTGATTTCTCTCTCTCTCTCTCGATCGATCGATCGATTATGGTCGAGTGGTTGATTGAAGTGTTTTTTTTTGTTATGCAGCTGTTTTGGAATTCAGATTTGTCCGAGTTTTGAATTGTATCGAATCAGAAGGTAGTGAGTATAATTAAAGATGCAGGTTAGTCGGTGTTTAATTGTGGTACTAGGATGTTTTTTATGGCTGGTTGTGTATGTCTCCTCTTTTGTAAATGCAACAGTGATTAATTGATGCTGCCTTGTGCCCTATATACGGTGTTTATGCTAAGTTCAGGCATCAAGAGCAAGGCTTTTCAAGGAATACAAGGAGGTTCAGAGGGAGAAAGTGGCTGATCCAGATATTCAATTAGTTTGTGATGATTCCAACATATTTAAATGGACAGCTCTTATTAAGGTATGTATGCTCTTGGATTTGGATTGATGGAGAAGATTGATTGTGTTATCGTGTTGCTTGACTTTGTTGTGTTTTCAGGGGCCTGCTCTCATTTAAACTTGTTTGTACGTTGTGATCCCTGTTTTCATTCGCTTTCGTGTATTGTTCTTTGATTAAAGTCTGATGTGCTTAGTAAGTCAAGTTCTTCATATGAATGTGTTTCCCATGTTGTGTGCATATCAGATTAATATATTTTCGATATTATTGGCAGGACATGGGCGGTTAGATGTAATCCTGAGTACGAAGGACTAATATTGGTTCTCTCTCTCTCTCTCTCACACACACACACACACTCTGTGCACAACCATTTTTTCTCTTTGAAAAACTTTATAAATATCTTTTGAATCAAAATGACTGGAAATAGAATTGTATTAGCTTAAGTAATTATATTATTTTGGTCCTGTTATCCCCCGGATAAAATTATAGATTTAAGACCCCCTTTTCCTTTCCATTCAACTGAAATCTTGGGATATTGGCATCCGTTCCATCCGGCTATCATCGCTGGTCAATGAAAGCCTGACTTTAAAAGTGTTGCCCCGTCCGGTCTCCCTTTTTGAGAGAATATTCTTCTGGTTGAGTGATTTCTTTTATTCGAATGAACTTTTGTGCATTTCCCTAGCCCAAGTTGTTTTGCTGATAGAAACTAAGCTTTCCCAGAGTGCTGGAATAGATTCAGCTGTCAACTTGTGATTTTCTTCTGCTCCTAGTGGTGATGATTTGACATCTGAAAGGTCCATTTCTTCTTTGGTAGTTCTGAAACTTTATGACATCAATTTCTTTGTTTAATTTCTTCTGACATTTCCTGCTTCTATGTGGTTTTGGCATCTTGGTGGAGTCACCTACCAGGCGAGTAGATCCATTGCTCAATTCATACAGTGACTATGAAGACAGTGTTTACGGTGATTGCTGCAACCTCGATTTTCTATTCACCTTGACTGAACTTTGGCTAACTGCTATTCTAATTGCAGGCCTTGCTTGGAGTTCTAGAGAGCCTTGGATATTTGCATCATTGTCCTATGATGGGAGGGTAAGTACACTATTTTTTATGGTTGGGATAATAATAACTGGGAAATTATCCACTTATTGGCTGGTATATATTTTTCTTACATAGAAGGATACAAAATTTACATTTCAAAAATAAAAAGAGGCTCTGAAATCTCGTGAATTTTTTGTTCTCTGGTCTCTAATTCAAAGTTATACCAAACAACATGGTGAGCATCAGATGATGTTGCTTATCCTAATAGCTTGTAAGCTATTTGAATCAAGTGGGAAATCAACGAGTTTTGAGCATCAGATAATGTAGCTTGTAAACTATTTTTCCCCTGTTTTTTTTTCTTTTAAAAGAGTTCTCAATCCTTTGCAGGTTGCATCATATGTTATTACAGTTTCCAAACAGAGGTGGTAGTTTCCTATTCTTCAATGGGGTAAGATTCTATGTTATATTGTTAGTTTCTTCTCTTTGATGTATCTTTGAGTAGTTACACATAAGCTACATGTTCAACCCCTAGTTCAAGGTCGTGATCTTGGTCATCGACTCGGAGAGCATTGAAATGTACCGATAGTGGGGAAGGACATGGGCCATATAGTTGGGGTGGAAAGTTTTGCTCGAATAAGTTACGGTAGTGTGAGTTGTTTTTAAATGTCTATTGCACTTGTGTGATTAGCTATACACATGTATACATGCATATTTATTTAAATTTTTTGTATTAATTTTTAATGCATGATAGCGTGATCTCGAGATTGAAGAGGAGCCCAACCATATGGAACTGTGGATAGCAACCAAGTTTAGTACGAAGATGAATGCTTGGACTGGCAGGAGATCAGGAGAAGTCTATGTAAGTTATCTTATCCTTATATATTTCCTTGAAATATTTTATTTTCCATCATAGACAGATTTTGATGAAAGCTCTTTGTATCTAGTTCTCAGTTTGATTATTTGGTAAAAATAACTATTGTATTTGGGGCTAACTTCAACATCCCAGGTTAACTTCAATTATTGTTTTACTTTGTTTTTGTTGTCTGCTAAATTTACGAATGTTCTTTTTAGGATTGAATTGCTTTAGATATAATGGATTGTTACAAAAAATCTTATGTCATTTGTGGTTGATTGTTCATATGGTAGATAAATACTTATTTGATCTATGTGATCTATGGTTGATTATTAATATGTTGTACTCTTTGTGCTTCCTATTAATGCTGAGTAAAAATCAGTGGAAGCTCTGAAAACAGCTTTGGAAGGCTCGCCTCCGAAGACTAAAGACAAAAAATCCATTAACCTTTCAAAAAAAGAATATGTAGTTGTGACTCAAGTCTTTGTAATGATTGTTATGTAATTACTTTCTTTTGAGTGGGTATCATTGTGTAGTTGCAATGACAATTTGAAATTGTGATCATAACTTTTTTTTGTTCATTTATATTTTTTGATGATGATACGATATACATGTACAATTTAATGATACCAATATCAGAATATTATTTTCGCGTGATTTGGTTTGAAAATTATATCTTTGAAAGTGAGTGTTTATTATGTATATATAGACAAGTGCGAAAGACATAATTCACAAGCTATAGATAGATATAAGGAGTGGTGATGAATTAAAAATTACTGAAGTAAAATCTTTATATTCACAAAAATAAAGAAATTACAAATTACTGCAATTAAATTACAAATAGGTTACTGGGATAGGTTGCTAAAGAAGAAATTCTTCATTTGTATCATTATGAAGACAAAGATACAACATGAGAGTGAGGGAGACGAGAGAGTGTTTTCTGGTTTTTAATGAGCCTGTAAAGACTTCCCCTTTGCTATGAATGGATGAAACCCTTATTTAGGCATAAAGATTTCTGAGGGAATCGTTGCAATATTTCCCTTTATTGCTTTAACTCTGGTGAAATGCTTTTCACTTCTACTTTCAGTGGAAAAGTGGGAGTGAAATGCTTTTACTCTGGTGAATGCTGACTGACGAACCTGGTGAGTCCCTAATGTTGACTGAGAATCTACTTTTGGTGGAAAAATTGATCTGGTTGCTGGCTATCAGTTGCTTTGTCTGAAAAGGAGCCTTGTTGCTAGGTTGATTCCATTAGAATGTGTAACAGACAGTTTTTCTTTCCGAAAAAAGCAGTGAGTGAGGCTATTACACATAGAAATGGGAATTAAGGGATAGTGTTGTCTAAGTCATCATATCCTTCATAGGGATTCTGAGAGTCCTGGAAGGGATCCTGGAGGGGCTAACTAATGACTGAGACAAGGCAGGTGAACTATTCTGACTAGCTGCATATTGAAGAAGCTTTTGTGCTAGCTCAATGAGTTCAGATGACTTCTTCTTGGGTTGCTTTCTGGAATCTTTGAAGGAGGATTTTTTCTGCTTTACTGGTGGTTGTGCCGATGATTCAGCAGAGGCTGAAACTTTGAGAGTTGACATAACCTGTTTTACTAGAGTTGTCAGAGCATGACTGGTTGTTCCTGTAATCGTGACTGGTGTAGGGACCTTTACTAGGAATTCCTGTTATACTTGTTCAATAATGCGTTAGTGCTGGAACTTGGGCCACCACTTAACAGGATATTGTCTAACAACATAATTGGTGATAATATCCCATTTCCAATTATATATCCATAGGACTTTATATTTTTTCATAAATATTAATAGACTCTGAAACTGACTCATTTTTATTAGGTTTATAAGTGAATGAGAAGTAGATTACCTGATCTTGAAGATCAAGCAGTAGGATTTCAAGCATGGGGCCGTGAACTTGCCACCACTGTGAAAACCAGGCAGAAAGCTAGCTTTTGAATTCCTTGATGAACTGTATGAACCAAGAATGAGTATAAGACTCATCTTGATAGACGATAAGTTTGAACCATGACTCTTTGTAGTCATAGTAACTAAACTTCTTACTATGTCCTGGAAGATTTCGGGACAAAGAAGGTTGAGATCCCCATTATTTAAGGGAGATAATTTTAAGGATATATAAGGAATGATAAATACTTTTACTAGGGTCTTTACTGTCTGGAATTTCTTTAATGAAAATGGACTGGGTAAAGAAAAGAATATCTTAATAGAACTTAAATGTTTTCTTAGGGTCATGAGGGATAAAGGTCCAACCTTGTTCAAGGTAGGCATTGACTAGGTTAATTGGGTTACTAAGGTGAGCATGGGTTGGTTCAATTGGGAAAATATTATAGGCCGAAGGCTTATCAATATAATCCGTTTTTGGGCTTTTGTAACTAGGTTGGGATTAATATGAGTTAACTAATTGGTTAGGTTTAGCTACTGTAATGGGCACAACTACTATTGGGCCATTAGGAGTGGCTGGTCGGGCCTGATACTGGAATGTACCTGGATTTATTCAAGAAGATCGGTATGTTGGTCTAAGGTTAGGGTTAAGGTTACCAAGGGCTTTGTAATGGTTTGCTATTGCAATTGTAGAGGTTTGGCTAGGCAATTGACTAGGCTTTGGATTTGGGCTAGGTAAGACTAGTTGTTTTTCAGTATCCCTCCCGGGTTTGGAAGAGGATCCTGACTTACTATTTTTCCTATTTGCCATGAGGTTCCTGGAGAAATTCACGGGTTAGGAAATTAGGGATGCAGTTATTATTGATTTTAATATATTCAATGTCAAAATTAAAAATACTTAAAATAGATTGCTATCTAACAAAATTTGCTTACTAGTATTGTTTTGTACATCTTTTGCTAAAACATATTTTGTTGATTTATAATCAATTCTTACTAAAAATTTCTGATTTAATATTTCATCTTGGAATTTCAAGATACACATGACAATAGATATATATCTCTTTTTTGATAGTACTATAGTTAGCTTGTGCTTTGTTCCAGATTCTAGAGTGAAAACAAACGATTTGTTCTGGAGAATCTGGAGTGACTCTTTGGAGAAGGATACCACCGTAGCCAATGTCAAAGGCATCAGTTTGGATAATTTTGAATGAATTTATTGAGGGAATACCAAGCCAAGACAAATTCTTGATATACTTTTTGACTTGCTGAACTATGGATGTATGAGTTGAAGACCAAGGAGAAGGATTTCCTTTGAGTCTATCATATAATGGTTTAACTGTTTTTCTGAGATCCTGATAGAAGTTTGCAACATAGTTCAAAGACCCTAAGAATCTCTATAGCTAAGTTTTTATCTGTAATATCATCAGGGAATCTATCTACAAATTGAATAGATCTATTGTGGGAACAATAGTTGACTATTGGATGTTATATCCAAGTAATCTTACTGAGGTTTGAAACAACTTAATTTTATTAGAAGAGAGATGACTAGACCATTATGCCTGACAATCTCTAAGAATGCATTAAAGTGTTTCCAATGTTCTTCTATAGACTTGGAGAAGATGAGGATGTCATCTATGTAGACTATAGAGAAATGACTATGTAGACTATAGAGAAATGACTAATTGAATTGAATATTTCATTCATTATGTTTTGAAATTTACTAGGTGTATTTTTCAATCCAAAGGACATTACATTGCATTTATAATGTCCAAAATGAGTTGTGAATGCATTTTTATATCTGTCTTTTGGGAAGATCTGAATTCGCCAGAAGTCACTTTTCAAATCAAATTTTGAAAATATTACTAAGCCTTTTGATTAAATTCTGTTTATTTGGAATTGGGTACCTGATCCATGCCAATACAGAATTTAAAGGTTTGTAGTTCATTACTAACCTTGGAGTTCTTTCTAATTATGCATTTTTGATGACATAGAAAGCAGGACATGACCAAGGAGATTTACTTTTCCTAATGATACCATTTTAAATAATTCAGAAATTTCTTTTTTACAAATTTTCATTACTTCATGAGTCATTTGGATAGGTCTGGATTTAGTTGGAGTATTTTGCTCACTAAATCCTTTACTGTAGGGAAGTTTCACCATGTGTTTCTTCCTATGCCAGAAAGTTGGAGGAAGATTAGAACACACTTCTGCTTCCATTTTAGTTTTAAATTCTTCAATCTTTTTTATTAAGATTGGATTTGCTAATTGTTCTTGGACTCTTTTATGATTAATTTCTTCCGTAAGAAATTTCACTTCGTTAGTTTTTTGAGTTATTAAATTAAGGGACATAGAGATTGAACACTCTTTTAGTTGCCTTAATTTCTTAACTTGGGGTTTGGTTAAAAATTTAAAAGTTACTTTTTGACCAAATGGCTTGGCGGTTAGTCCATTAATATATGTTGTGAAAGGATACAACAAATATATAAATGGTACACAAAGAATGACTTTATCAGTCATGTTCTTTACTAAAACAACGGAAGTTTTAAAACATACATTGTCTTGACAAATATGTTCATTTGACATTTTGTATTTTACTCCCATTTTCTTACCATTTGCTACATTGACACCTATGGTTGTTTTGTGGTAGTATTTGGTTGGAATGAACCCTTCCTCTATACAGTTTAAATCTGCACCAGTATCTATAAGGGCTACTGTGTTGATTTCCTAATCATTATTGATTATGAGTTTTACTTTGGAGTGCCATTTTTAGATATTTAATCTGTTGATTAAATTAATTTTGTTATCATCATTATTGGTTTGCGAACATCCTTCTTGCGAAGGCAGCTTTATTACACCCAAGGGTTCCATTAGAGAGGTGGAGGTTATGGGTATCCGCTGGGATGTTCTGATTGCGCTATGTGAGCTATTTGGGTTGTTATCTTTAGTTTGAAATTGCTCTTTAAGATTAAGATCTGTTAATTTACTAAAATCATCTTTAGATTGTAAAAGATTTAAAGCTTCTCAAAGTTTCTAATCTTGTGCTTTTGAATCTTTTATTTCTTGTTTTAGTTTGTTAACTTCACATTGGAGATCTTATAAGGTAATTTCTTTCTTTTTATCCTTACTAAATCTTTCTATTATTTTGTTAAAACTAATTAACTGTTTTTCAATAAAAGATTGTTTAATGTCTTTTTTGACAAACAAATCTTTAAGTTGTTTAATGTATTTAACTTTTAATTCTGGATCTTCTATTTTGCTAGTGACATCAATGAGGATCTATTCCTCCTCAACTTGTTTGGTTATGACTCTAATCAATTGACAACAATTATGTTTACATCCTAATTTATATCAGGTTCACCAGAGTTGGCAGACATTGATTGACAATCTAAAGAACTTTCAGGACTACTTGAGTCTTCTGAACTCTCTTCAGGGTGACTAAGATTACCGCACTTGTCTATGTGAATTATGTTTATATCTATATATAGATATATTGATATATTTTCATTAAATTATTACAGGTATGTGAAATTGGGAAATTTGCAACAATAAATTCTTTCAAATATGTGATAAGTTTTTTTCTGTTAATTTCAATGTATTAACTGTGACAATAAGTTGTCATTAAAAGCATGTTCTAAATTTTAGTGGCGATTTTAGTTGTGGGTAAAATGTATACTTTTAGTTGCGATTAATTGTTGCCACTAAAAGTCAAATTTTGATTGGACTTTTAGTTTTGACAAGGTACATTTTAGTGGCAAAATTACGGTAATTTGATACAATAATTATTGCAATTAAATATTTTATATTTAGTGACATTTTTCATGTTGCGGCTATAAAAATTATTTTTAGTGGCAACAAATTAAATGTTGTAGCTAAATGCTTTAGCCACGGACATATAGTCGCAGTCTAGTGACAATAAAAAGGTTGTGACTAAAATATATAGCGACAATTTTTATACATTTAGCTGCAATAATTTTTGCGGCTAAATTACAAATTTCTTGTAGTATGATATGATTTCAAGAGGACCACAATTCCGGTGTTACATACAATAAGGACAGGTTACCAGCACATACCTAAGAAGCACATACACGAGACACAGATACGACACAACCCAGAAACGCATAAACGATATTTCTAAAATAAGTAGGACACGAACATGTTAGAAACACGCTATATATAAAAAATTATATAATTTATCACAAATATAGTGATAATGATATATTATTCATAAAACATTAGTTCTTTATGATAAGTAAATGTTATATCATTTACTATGAATTTTTAAACTAATATCATTGTTTGAGTCCTTATTATATATATTAAGTCATAAGTCTACTAGAGTAGGGTAATATTGGAATTACCCTAAATATTGCTCAATTATAAATAAGAGGGTATATGTGAAACCCGAGCATGCATGCATAGTGTGCAAGTAAAAAAAATTAGAAAAATGTTTTTATAGGACATGTTTTAATATGTATGTAATTATAAAAAAATTCAATTAAAAATTAAAACAAAATCGGATTTGAGGTATTTACAAAAATACCATTGCATGACATTTCCTTCCAACTGTCTAGCTGTAACAAGAGGCTCCACATCACTTTGCAACACTCCAGTAGGTTTGAGGGGCTGCTCAAGGTCTCTGTTGAGTGTTTAGATCAGATAGAAAAGGTTGGAGGAGAGAGAAAGAAAGGAGAAGTTAGAGAGAGAAAGATGGAGTGAAGATCAAATTTTCTTAGGAGTAGATTCGAGCACGAAGGAGATTAGATCGCAAATAAGAGTTATATTTGGATCCTCTGAGGGGAACTTGCCTGTGGCTATCTAGGACTCCCCCTTATTTCTTCAAGGCTCAAGGCTCAGCATTGTGCTAGCCTAATAGGAAGTATTGAAGCTAGAACAAAGTCTTGGTCGAATAGAACTTTATCATATGCTGAGAGGCTTCAACTTGTAATTACTGTACTGAGTAGCATCCAAATCTTTTGGGCCTCACATTTGAGTTTACCCCAACGGGTGCTCAGACAAGATCAAGAAGATGATAAGGGCATTTCTGTGGAAAGGACCCAACCTAAATATCACAGGGGTTAAAGTGGCTTGGAGTGATGTATGTAAACCCAAGAAAGAAGAGGGAATCAAAAGACTTAAAGAATGGAATGATGCGCTCCTCATGAGACATTTGTGGCAGTCATTTAAGCACAAACAAAATCTATTTATGGACACAGTGGGTGCACACTTATCATTTCAAGGGAAGAAGCTTATGGGAAATAAAAGCTACTCAAGGAAGTTCTTAGAACTGGAGAAGTCTGCTAAAGCTTAGGGATGCCATGAGACTGACAGTCTACCCATTTATGGTAAGACAACTAGGTCCTCCGTTGCTGAAATATAGATCCTCGATCATTCAAGCATCAAGATTTCCTAAGGAAATTAAGGTCGGTGAAATAACATCAGTTGGGCAATGGAGATGGCCTATATATAGGTACACTGAATTGGCAGAAATTAGCAATCAGATGTCTAATTACTTACCTGATCAGAGCAAGGATGACATTGTGAAATGGAGCTTAATCGTGAATGCAGCATTGGAGCATATTAGGGACCCTCGAAGTTGGAACTGAGGTAACTCGGCAGAGACTGTTATGGTTTGGGCAAGCTGTCCCTAGGCTAAGATATATCCTATGACTTAGCTATCAAGGAAATACTCAACACCAAGGATCGCATGTAGGTGTTTACTAATCAATTGGGGATGGAATGCAGCCCCCGTATCACATAGCCATCTTTTTTGTTTTCAGTGCCCATTCTCTACAGTGGTATGGACAATTTTCTTGAGCAGAGTGGGATACATGTCTAACAAAAACCATGACAGGAATTGATTCAATGGGCAGGTTAATTCTCGTTGGAAAGGAAAATCAATGACCAAAATCATGTTGAAAAGTATTCTCCATCTGATGTATATTACATCCGGAGGGAAAGGAACAAGAGGATATTTAGCAATCATGCAATGGACAGTAATGCCTTGGCTATATTCATTAAACAAGTCGTTCGGGACAGGTTTGTCAATCTGAAGTTGAGGAACTCAACAACCAATCTAATACTAGCGCAAAGGTAGAATCTCCCTACAACTTGCAACGTTTGAATGTTGAAGATGATGCCTATGTAGTGTTGGAATCTAGAGGACTATCACACACTCACAAAAAAAAAAAAAAAAATAATGGGAGAGACTATTAAAGATTGGAAGAACTCTTTGTGTTCACTCATATCCAAATGGATGTATTACATAGGATATATATAGACTCTCATGAAATACAAAATAACCCAACTACATAATGCAATAATAAAAATAATAAAAACTCCCCTCCTCGATTACTTGGAGAATTAAAATATCACAATTACTTTGTCCCCCACTAATACCAAATTGATGACCCATTAATACACAAAATTAAATGCATAAAAATAACTCCTAAAACATGAAAAGTCATGTTTAATATTATTTTTTCAACACCCCCTCCCTTAAACATGATTTTTATTCTCAACTCCAAGAAAACTACTTAATTTGCAAAAGACATCCTCTTTGAGGGGTTAGTGAAAATATCGGCAATTTGATCTTGAGACTTCACAAACTTGAGTTTCACCTCTTTGTTGATCACATACTCTCTAATGAAATGGAACCTTGTTTCAATATACTTACTACGATCATGAAACACCAGATTCTTTGCCAATGCTAGTGCCGATTTGTTGTCAATAAAGATCTCTGTCGATTCTTCTTGAAGCAAATGAATCTCCTTTAACAAATTTCTAAGTCAAATGGCTTGAAAAATACATGATGTAGCTGCCACATACTCAGCTTCACAAGTTGAAAGAGTCACAATGGGTTGCTCTTTGAACTCCAAGCAAATGCGGTATCACCTATGAAGAAAATATACCCGATAGTATTTTTTTTCTATCATCCATATCTCCAGCCCAATCACTATCACAATAACCCACAAGCTTAAAATTGTTAGAACAAGAATATAACAATCCATAATCAAGTGTACTTTTGATGTATCTAAGAATTTTTTTCGTCACCTTCAAATGGATCATGGTAGGAGCTTCCATATAGTGACTTACAAGACCAACACCAAAAAGAATATCCAGTCTTGTGTATGTTAGTTACCTCAAGCTTCTGATGCAATGCAATCTGATCCGTTGAGCATAAATGGAGGTCCTATAACTCGGGCGAAAGCGAAAAGGATGAATGAAGCATTTAACGGGTTGATTCAAAACATATGGGCTGATTGTGCAAGTTCAAGCATGAAGAGTGCGTTTGGAGGCTTTTCTCCCGTGGCATGCGTGGGCTTTAAGGGGAAAATGCCTCAAGTTTATTTTAACATAATTTAATTCCAACAAACCTAATTAAGTGGTTGTATGGGCTTAATTAGGTTATTTAGGGATTTTGGGCTGATTACTTGTTTTAAGCCCAACTTTAGTTATTCCTATTTAGACTAAGATTTGTTTTAAGGTTTTATATACACATATAAGACTTAGGAAAAAAGGACAGAATATATTTTTAGGAGCTTTGTGAGGTTTCTACCTTATTGTTCTTCCAAAAATTATTTCAAGAACTTATCAAGAATTAATCTTTCTTGTGGCGTTTATTGACTTATCACTCAATCTTGAGTGTGGCGTCCTTCTCTTGAACTTTTAACCCTTGGGTTCTTGTTTCTTGAAAACATTGGGTCTAGGGTTCTTGGTTCTTATAATCTGATTTGTGAACTTTCTTGGAGAGTCTTCAATCAATTTGCCCGTGGGTTCTTGAATTCGTTTAAGGGTTCGCATCAATTGGTATTAGAGCTCTCGGGTTTGTCTTCTCAAATCAGGTTGGTTATCAATGTTTTTTTGCTCATATAATCTGACCAAGTTAGGATTTCTTGCTACTGTTTGGTGTTTCTTTCTCTATTTATGCGCATCTATTTAAAAAAAAAAATTCATCGTACTACTCATCGTTATTGTTCATCACGATTGTTCATTGCGATTTTTTTTTTGTTCTGCTTGATTTGGGGCGTGACTTGCTGCTCGAATTTCAGTTATTCTTTTCTATAATTTTAATATCAATTAGGGTTGCATAAAAAGGGCAGAATTGAATACATAACTTGCTTGTGAATCGA